AATGGACGGGATTTAAACCCAATCAGGAATGCTTTAAACTCTGTACACTTAACCATCAAGTTATGGGACATCTCCTAAGGAAATGACACTTAATGAAGAAAAATATTTTTACACAGATTGTAGGGCTACTTGATAAAGTAAATTTAGCTGTGTACCAACAACATTCACTGGCAAAATCAGAGGAAACTCTGGAGATACATTTTTAGTCTACCTTATTATGACAATCGTCAGCAATATACATTATTCAGAAGCCACCAATGTGTCATGGAGATCTTTCTAGTAGTGTATCTAATGGATTTTGTATGATTATATGAAATAAAATATGCAAAAAAGAAAAAGTATTTGGTTGACTTTTGATGATGATTTATTTTTTCCATCAGAAAAAGGAGAGGGTCTAAAACTCTAAGTTGGAAGTGAAAACTGATTCCCTAAATACTTCATTTATTGCAAAGTCCATACATGACTACCACATTTTTAATACTTACAGCTACTGAATAACTGTTCCCTCAAATATATGAATAGTTCATTAATACTTACTGAGCATATACACATTGTTTATAGGGCACTTCCCACTATGATTCTGGCAAAATGTTAGATAAGGGTTTCATTGTGGCATATTTGTATACTTCATTAATTAATATGCATGTTGCAGACGACAGTAATATGGATCTAAGCTTTGGATTCATAATTGAGTTCAGCAGCTGCCTCTGCTTTGATATACACAGATGTGTGAGTCAAGACAGTGGGGGAAAAATGTTAGTCTTAATTATCAGAACAATTTTGCATAATTGTTGCTCGGTTGTGCAATAGGATCATGTAAATGTCATTAAATTTATTGTTAAGATATATATTGTATTATAATGGCTCTTGTTGTCTTCTATTTGCAGACCGTTATATCATAGTTGGCAGCCATCATCATACCGCATACAGTTATAATGGACAAGAATGGGCCAGCAGCACTGCCATCATCACAGCTTTTATCCAGGCCTTGATGTTAAGAGTCAAGAGAGGGTGGAGACCAGACCGCACTATTGTTTTCTGTTCATGGGGTGGAACAGCTTTTGGAAATATTGGCTCGTATGAATGGGGAGAGGTAAACGTGCATAAATTACTATGCCTTGCTCTCAAAATTGCGCGGTCATTCTCTCGCTTTCACTCTCGCTCTTGCTCTGGACTAAAGTAGACAAAGTCAAATTGATAAAGCCATGAACAAGAATGTGCATCTCAACCAGGGTGTTCAGTACGCTCATTTGCTGGGATCACTTCTAAGAATGCTAAGGAATTAGAGTTAGACCACAGTGATTTGTGTATGATCTATAGGTATCTTATTCTTGTTGCTACCAGACCTACAGACTCTGTTATGCCCACAGTGGTGTTTACCTGGTTATTGTGTTTCTTCTTAGGTTGACAGGCACTGGACAAGAAAGGGTCAAGTGATACATACCGTTACCTTTTTTTTTTTTTTTTTTTAACTTTCTAGCAATTTTCTGGAATTAGGAAATGATCTTGTATGTAAAATGTTTATTAACTTAGCATTATACCTTACCTAAACAATATAGAGATTGGACTCAAAATAGCAGTTTCCTTCCTTCTACCCTTGTTTTCTCCCTCCCTTCAATCCTTCCTCCCTCTATTCTTACACCCCTACCTCCCTGCTCCTTCTTTTCTAACTATATCTCTACCTATCCACTTATCTAACTACCTGAGGAAGCCTTTGTTCAAATGAAATCTTGTGTGCAATGGATCACAGTTAGAATACAACTGGAGTAAATTTTCAAATATTTCTGATATGTTTGTGTCTCACAAATGCACTGTGTTGTTAATGGGATAAGACAACTTTGTATTGATGCCACATTAACAACAATAAAAACATCATAAAACTCTTAGATATTCTATTTATTTTTATGACTTTATAAAAAGAAGTTTAATGGAAATATGTAGGG